CAAGGTTTGACCTCTGTATGAAACTTTTCCCACAATCCAAGCACTTGTGGGGTCTCTCTCCTGTGTGGATTGCCTGATGTTTAACAAGGTTTGACCTCTGTATGAAACTTTTCCCACAATCCAAGCACTTATGGGGTCTCTCTCCTGTGTGGATTGCCTGATGTTTAGAAAGAGCTGATCTGTTCCTGAAACTTTTCTCACAGTTCAAACACTTATGGGGTCTCTCTCCTGTGTGGATTGCTTGATGTTTAACAAGGTGTGACCTCCGTATGAAATTTTTTCCACAGTCCAAGCACTTATGTGGTCTCTCCCCTGTCTGGATTGCCTGATGTTTAGTAAGGTCTGACCTCTGTATGAAACTTTTTCCACAATCCAAGCACTTATGGGGTCTCTCTCCTGTGTGGATTGCCTGATGTTTAGAAAGGGCTGATCTGTTCCTGAAACTTTTCTCACAGTTCAAACACTTATGGGGTCTCTCTCCTGTGTGGATTGCTTGATGTTTAACAAGGTGTGACCTCCGTATGAAATTTTTTCCACAGTCCAAGCACTTATGTGGTCTCTCCCCTGTCTGGATTGCCTGATGTTTAGAAAGGGCTGATCTGTTCCTGAAACTTTTCTCACAGTTCAAACACTTATGGGGTCTCTCTCCTGTGTGGATTGCTTGATGTTTAACAAGGTGTGACCTCCGTATGAAATTTTTTCCACAATCCAAGCACTTATGTGGTCTCTCCCCTGTCTGGATTCTCTGATGTGTAATTAATTCTGACTTCCAATTCAAACAGTTTCCACACTCAAGGCATTGATAGGGTTTCTTTCCCATGTGGCTTTTCCCATGGTTATTAAGATCTGAGCAGTTATTGAAACTTTCCCCATGGGCCAAGTATTGAAGGGGTTTCCCTCCATTATGGATTGTCTGATGTGTCACAAACTGTGACCTGAGAATGAATCCTTTTCCACATTTGAGGCACTGATAGGGTTTCTGTTCCTTAGGATTGGTCTGCTGGGCTGTGGGATCCTTGTCTCCTCCCCCACATATAATGGGTTCATCCACTTTCTTCCTTGTGTGTTTTTTCAGTCGCCTCTCTGACTTGTGCCAATTTCCCCAGGCTTCTCCCTCTTCCAAGCACTGGGATAAACTCCCTTCAGCTCTTCCCACAAAGGTCCCCTGTGGTTCCATTTGCCCAGGAACTTCCTCATGATGATTCCCATCCTTCTTCTCATCCACTGTCTCATCACCTGCTGGGAGAAAGAGACAATCCAGACAGGAGTCATTGTGCTGGGGAGAAAGGATAATAGCACCAAGGGAAAATCCAAAATGCTAACACTGTGAAAACTGAGCAACTGGATTTTGCCTCCAGATCCCACCCAAACATTCCCAGGAATGGAAAGTTGGGAAGGAAACTCCTGCAGCTAACAGGATGGTTGGAAAGCCGTGAATGGTATTTGTTGACTACAGCCCTGGTTGAGGTGAGGAAGAACTAAGTGCTCTTACTCACAGCATATTTTTGGGATTCTCAACTTTTTCCTTCATTCACCAGATGGTTTCTGTTTCAGTCCTCACCTGTGCGATTGCCTCTCAGGATCTCTCTTTCCTCATAGACCTGGAGATCCGGGACCCACAGTTCTTCCCCTCGTTCCAAGTGGGAGATCAGTTCAGGTTTGGGAATGGGAAATCCTGTGCAGGGGGTGAAAAGAGCCACAGTCAGGGCACATGGCGGATTGGAAGAGTGTCTGTCACAAAGGGCATTCTGTGAGTGGTACCTCTCCCCATGATCTGCTGGGGGAACATGGAATCCAACAGCACGGGAACATGATCACTGAGCCCTCTTGGGAGAAGCAGACGTCTGGGGAGGTGGGGGGAATTGTTAGGCCCTCACAAGGAGTTCCCAGGATCTATGTTCTGTTGGGCCTTGGTGACGCGCACACAGCTCTGGAGTTAGACCATTTCCTATTTCTAAATCTGCAGAGCCCACAGTCTTCCCCAGGGCTGGAGCTATTCCCAAGAAGGGAAATGAAGAGGGATTTTGTGCATCAGTAAGAAACAATACAGACAGGACAATGAATGACTTCTCCCCCCCCCCCCCGAATGCTGGAGGGGTGGGCATGGTTTCGCATGTCCATTAGGCTTTGATACCCGTGTCCCAATGAAAGTCTCTCTCACGTGGCAGCTGCGAATTATGGAACCCATTCCCCTCCAATCTAACTGACCAGGGAAGAACCTGACCAGAGTCAGAAATGAAGACCTCATGGCTTCTAATAACCAAGGGGACAGGAATCCCTTACCCAGCGAGGTCACCATCTCATAGTTCTCCTGCATGACGTCCCTGTAGAGGGCTCTCTGACTGGGGTCCAGCAGAGCTCCCTGACCCTGGGTGAAATACACAGCCACCTCCTCGAAGGTCACCGGCAACTGAAACAACAAGAGACCCCCACTCAGCCCCTGCTGCCCCTGCCACAATCCCACTAGTCACAGGAGAGGAAGAAAGAAAAAAACTTCTTGGAAGCTCTGGGAGGACCAGAGTAGCAGAATCCCACCCCCACCCTGCTCAGAGCACCAGGAGTCTTCATGAGGCGGGGAGAAGGTGAGTCTTCCTTGTCCACCCCCAGCAGATGGAGGAGGGCAGGGTCTTCTCATTTACCAATTACCACATACTTGCCAGCCACAGGCTGATATAGGAAGCAGAGCAGTGAGCCAGGGAGACGGACACTAATCCCAAAAGCTTCCCTTCATATTTCACAGCAGCCTCTGGCCAGTGGGTTCAGGCTCCAGCACCGGGAGTCTGGAAAATGTTCCCAGCACTGCCTAGGAGGGTTATGACCTCTTTGACAAATGGTGGTGTGCCCCCTTCTACTCAGAAAATCAGCAGGTTTATCACACCCTGTCTCCTCCCTGCCTCTCCCTCCTGCCATCCAACAGCTCCCTGAAAATCCCCTACCTGAGCTGACTCCATCACAGCCATTTCCCTTCCCAGTCCCCTGGAACACAGGACGATCTCGAGGGAAATCTGGATGTGATTCCTCAGCCTGTCGGGGCCATTGGGAAGGTTTCAGAAGGGGCTTGAGTGCATGTGACAGCCCAATTCCCCGCAGGCTCTCTCCCTGCAGACAGATGCTCTGGACTCTGTCACGTTGGAAAGAAACCCAGTTAGTTCATTACCACCCAGGCCAGGACCCTCCCAGCAGAACTAAACCCCACGAGGCACTTTTAAACTCTTCCCATAAGAGAGTTTCTGAGCCCAATGCCGGAAAAAGAGCAGAACCAAAGAAGCCACCTTGGGGGATTCCCCCTGACATTGTCGTGTCACCCCTCTAACTCTCCCCTTCCCCCCCAAGTAGTGCGGTGTTCAGCCAAGTCAGGAACTGGCTTTTCCTCTCTCAGCTCCTCCCCTTGTTCCCAGGGGGATGCAGGGAATGGATCCGGGCAGGTCTGGGATCTGGGAACCTCCCTCCCCATTTGTTGTTCCTGGTTTCCCCTTCCAGTCTCTCCTCTCTCCCTTTTTATCATTTTCCCTTAGGAGAACCGGCAACTGCACCATTGTCCTGGGCCTTTGCTGTCATGCCAGCAGATCGAGGAACGTGATCGTTCCCCTTTATTTGACATTGGTGAGGCCTCATCTGGAATACTGTGTCCAATTTTGTGCCCCACACTACAAGAAGGATGTGGAAAAATTGGGAAGAGTCCAGCAGAGGGCAACAAAAATGATTAGGGGTCTGGAGCACATGACTTATGAGGAGAGGCTGAGGGAACTGGGATTGTTTAGTCTCCAGAAGAGAAGAATGAGGGGAGATTTGATAGCTGCTTTCAACTACCTGAGGGGGGGTTCCAAAGAGGATGGATCTCGGCTGTTCTCAGTGGTGGCAGATGACAGAACAAGGAGCAATGGTCTCAAGTTGCAGTGGGGGAGGTCTAGGTTGGATATTAGGAAAAACCTTTTCACTAGGAGGGTGGTGAAGCACTGGAATGCGTTACCTAGGGAGGTGGTGGAGTCTCCTTCTTTGGAGGTTTTTAAGGCCCGGCTTGACAAAGCCCTGGCTGGGATGATTTAGTTGGGAATTAGTCCTGCTTTGAGCAGGGGGTTGGACTAGATGACCTCCTGAGGTCCCTTCCAACCCTGATATTCTATGATTCTATGATTAGGCAGCTCAGTCACAGCCACTGCTAACAGGGGTTTGAACCTGGCTGTGTCCATGGGGACAGCAGCTCTGGGACTCGCAGACACATAGGGAGCCACACTCATCATCCAGTCCCTGAAAGGGGCCCTTTGTGCTGAGTCACTTTCCTGCCCAGTCCCAGCCCTTTACCCCCAGGTCTCTCCATCACCTGCAGGCTGCGGCTCGGGGGCTGCTGTGGGCAGAACCCGGGGCTGCACTAGGGGCTGGTTCCAGCCACCACAGCAAGTCCCCACCTGGGCTGGGCACAGAGGGGATTTAATAAAGGTCTCTCCTCTGCTGGGTAAGAAGCAGCTTGTCGGTTTGGGCTCCCAGGTCAAAATACAGGAGGCAGCAGCTTCGGACCCAGGGAGCTCAACTCCAGAGCTCTAATATCCTGAGAAGAGAGAGACACACACCCGCTTCCTCCTCTCCCTTAGCAATAACCAGAGCCCTTTGGTGGCAACACCCGATTAACGAGCTGCCCTGGACTCTGACCCCAGCCCCAGGGACAGGCAGTGTTACCTGACCAGGGCACAGTATCCAGCCTGTCTTACTCATCAAGGACCCCGCCCTGCCAGCCTCTGCTTGAACCAAGTCAGAAGAAAGACTTATAAGAAAGCAATGAAAAGATCATGGGAGACACACCTAAACCCCTCCAGACAAGGGTGACAGGATTAAGGCAACTCCCCTAGCCTCATTTGCATAGAAGATGAGACAGGGCGGCACCTCCATTAGCATACAGACTGGAGACCAGAGATTGCAAGGTAAGAACTGCACTGAACTCTGGGACCAGAAAAACAGGGAAGCAATGCATCATGGGGGAATCTCTGCTCCAGATGTTAATGAATCCACGCCTGCAAATTCTCAATTACTGAGAGACAATTTACGCTCATTGATATATTTGCTTTTGACAACAACTCTCTGTATAACTTATTATGAGTGATGAACCCAAGTATTCGGATTCTAATATCTAAACTGTATTGTTGAATTTATTCCCCTAAATTTGAGTTATTGCTAATTATGTACTTCATTATCTTTGACTTTTAAAATGAACTTTGTATTTGTGGATAATCTAAGCACTAAACCCAGATGTACACACACTCTTTTCTTAACCTGTGTGTTATGTAATTTTTTTTACATTAGGTTTAATAAATCCTTTATTGGTATCCAAAATATTGACGCTGCCTAATTGGATTGTGAGCTTCCTGGAAGGAACACCACCCATAACCAGGAATGGTCAGTTCCTATTGTCTAGCTTGAACAAAACAACTTTGGTACACGCCCTTGAGCCATTAGTTTACACATAAACAAATCTAGTGTTCTCCCTTGGACCATTGTTGTTCCCTACAAAACCCCCTACCCACACTCAAGTAAGTGTTCTGATGCCTGGATCCAAAATCTGCATCAGTTCCATTGGGACTTCATCTTCTCCTGACTGATCGTGCTGGGGGCTCTGCCTGTCTCCAGCACTCCAGACCCTCAGCTACCACCATCACCTGAGAGACCTTATCGATTCAAGCACCATGGAGTGGTGAGAACCCAGCTCTCTCTCTCTCTCGGTATAGCCTTCTGACCCTGACCTGTGTGATCAGTTATAGTTTTCTAAACCTGACTTTTATAATCAAATGTAAGTTAGATTTAATATTATAACTGTTTTGTTTGGCTCCCCTATGGTTATTACCTGGCCATAAATAACTTTCATGGTTAAGCTGGTTGCTTCGCTCTCCCTCTCCCTGCCCCTCACTGCCCGTGGGTGTTTTTGGCTACCCCAGTTGTGCTGCAGCAACGCTCCTCCTCGTACCTAAACTAAAGATCCCCGCAGCACCCAAAAATCCTGTGGGGTTTGCTCATCAAGTGGGTTACTACCAGAACGACTGTAACGTGAAAGTGGAGACAGGGATGTGCTGAACCTGGGGCATATGAGGATGGGAGCTTGGAGGTGCTGCTCAACACAGCCTGCTGAGTCTAGGGATATATAAGGGGTCAGCTTGGGAGTGCTGATTAACCCGGTCCTGTGTGTGTGTGCGTGCGCGCATCTGATTCTGGGGCTGGAAGAACCCAGCACTGGGGAACCTAGGTCCTGCAGAATAGCTCCATTGGGAGGGGACTTGCAGCAGGGAGAAGTAGAGCACTCTATAAGAACACAAGTGACACAAGCAGTACATTGATAGAATTACAGAATTCCCCCCCCCCCCGAGGAGAAACCCAAATAAAAAGGGGTAAACCAAAAGAACGGTCCAAAATGGAGTACCCTGCAGGTCACCGCA